TAATTGAAATAAATTTACTTTTTCATGTTTCCAATTAGAATATTAAAAAAATATTTAAGAATCTAATTAAGGCCTTTGTGTTGGTTTAATATGGTCTAATGAAGTGTTTACATAATGAATTTTCTTAAGATGTAAGATTTTTGCTTAATTCCTTTTGTCTGTAATTTAAGAATATATTATGCCAAGACATTTAAGATTTGATGTAGATTGATTTTCACTGTCACAAACTTGCCATTTTTCAGTTCATGGGAGAAATTTTTTTCCCTACTTGAATTGCCTCATTCCTGGTGAACTCTCATGGTGATTGAGTTGCCTTGAAGCTAGACCAGAGTAACAATTGGATTAAATTCTGAAGTTGTTGGTTTGTTTGTTTCGTTATGCTTTTATCCCGTTCAAATTTATCCTCGTGTAACTACTAACCCATCTTGCTTTCACTTACATGTACATTGGCAAACACTATTAAGGTGCAGCATCCAAGGAAATTGTTTTGGTATTGCCCATCCATAGGATAATTCAGAATTTTATTCATGACCTTTGGCACTAAGGCTGGTATGATGGCTATGACGTCTAATAGGAAAAACAATAATCCTTATTCAAAATTCCATCAACAATGTAGATTTAAAATCACAATTATCGGTGATGGCACCCCCTAGTAACAGGGATCGAATTTTGTCCTATGTTACCAGTAAAATGATGGGTTTTAACATGATTCTATGAACTATTATTTACCATCGACTTTGATCAGCTCTAAATCTCAAGTTAAATAACGCAAGATAATCGGGTTTTAAGTATCAAAATATGTAAAAATTAATATATTATTAATTGCTAATATTAAAAATTAAATATTTCTGAAAAAGAGGCTGATGTAAATGGGCTATCTTTATTGTATTTGTAAGCCATATTACCAGAAAAGTTTGGTTAGTGTTTGGAAGTTCTTTTACCTTGGAACTCCCTTTGATGTTGTTTTATATTAAAGGCAAAAGGAGAAGGCAGAGCAGCTTTGTGTTCTGTGGTAAAGACACCATAGCTTACAGATATTCGGAAAAGAGGCAGAATTTTTAGAGATAAAAGATAATTATTATTAACAACATTGATCTTGTAGTTCAATTTAAACCATTCTTAAGGCTGAACTGAAGTTTTTGTGAGATAAATAACTTGTTCCATCAAATAATCTCAATGAGACTATGAACAATGAATGATAAAGCGGTTTGGTAGTTGTTGTTGTTGTTATTGTTGATAAGTGCCATCAAGTTGAGTTTGACTCATAACAACCCTTTGAACAAAACACTTAAATACTGTCCTATCCCATGCCATCCTCACTATGTCTGATACACTTTAATCCAATGTTTTCCTATCCTGTGCCAACCTCATCATCCCTGATACATTTGAGCCCAATGCTGCAATTGCTGTGCCAATCCATCTCATTGGAAATCTTTCTACCTTTCCAAGTGTGATGTCCCTTACCAACGAATAGTCTCTGGTAGCAAAATGTGCAAAGTATGAGAGACATGAAACTTCAAAATCTTTGCCTCCAAGTAGCACTCTTGTTACACTTTCTCCAAGACACAGCTGTTTGTTCTTTGGCAGCCTATGGTATTTACTCTCCTTCAACACAACTTAAAGACATCAATAATTCTTCTATCACCCTTACTCATTGTCCAGCTCTCTGATGCATAACAAGTAATTGAAAAGACAATGGCCTTAATCAGGTACACCTTAGTTTTCAAACTGGACTCATTGTTCTTAACTGTTTTGGAGAGATCTCTGACAGGGTATCTGCCCAATACAACACGTCTTCTCAACTCCTGACTACTGGTACCAAATGTGATGATTGTTGATCCAAGCAAGATGAAAGCATTGACAAGTTTTCTCTTTTCTCCATCTATCATGGTGCAATCTATCGTCTCAGTGGCGGTGCCTTTTGTTTTCTTGATGTTAAGATGTAATCCATATTGAAGGCTGTCCGCCTCAATTTCAGTAAGAAAGGTTGTGTTATCTGTCTTACACAGATTCCTGATGAGTCTTCTTCCAGTCCTGATGGCCAGTCCTCCTTATGAAGTTTGGCCTCATAAGTTGTTTGTTCAGAATATAGATTGAAAAGGTATGGGGGAAAGACAATTTTAAATATAGCAGCAATATGAGTCTCATATAGAAAAACTCACAAAGAATTAGGTTTCTTTTTTCAAGGCCACGTAAGAGAATTATAAATACAGTATGTATGTTGTTTGCATTATTACTACTGTGAATAGATACCATCTAATCATTCAGGCCCTTAGTAACCTTATATGTTGTTATTGTTACGTGCCGTCGAGTCGTTGGCAACTCATAGTGACCCTATGTACAACAGTCCTAAACCGTGCTCTATCCCGTGCCAATCTCATTGCCTCTGACATACCCATCCCGATTACCCCAGTCACTGAATCAATCCACCTCATATACAAATCAATCCACCTTATATGCAAAGGAACAAATTGGACCACTTGTATGTAGTTCACAATCTATATGTTTCATGGATCAGTAAAAAGATTATGAAAATAATAAGACGAAATCTAGTCTGGTGAACTGGTCTTAACTAAGTTTAAACATTTAAAAGTGAAAAGACTGAATTTTATTATATATTGTCTCTCAAACACTGACATTCTATAATTATTTCCTAGTGATTTGAGTAACTAAAACTATTTTTGTTTCAAATGTCTGCCATTTGGTCCTTAATCCCTAAAAGATTATTCTCTTGATGTTGTAAGTATGGATCAGAGAATAGCTTTCATTGAATGGAATAAAATATTAACATGCATCTAAAGAAGGATTGGAAGGGGAATTTGTGGTTTTATTTTGACCTGAAGGATGTATACTCTTCTAATGGGTTCCCTCTAAATAGTTTAATGTTGGCAATCCTCTTATAGTGGCATTCTTTAAGTAGTGTGTTTTAGTATGTTGCATTTTTATTTCACTTTTACATGAGAAAATAATAAATGTTGGTTTTAAAGACTCACTCTCTGGAGTGATTTGAGTGTTTTATACAATTTTTATTGAAAGACATCTCTGCCAGCTAAAATTGAGATTCCATATGTTACATGATATTTAAAGAGAAAAATATTCAACTTTTTTTTCACACTTGAATTACCCTATTTCAGATGTTCCAAAGAATGTCTATCTAGGAAGGACTTGCAAAATAGATTAGAAAATTATTCTGGTATCATTTAGTAAAGAAAAAATGAATAGTATTTACTACCATATTTTCACACCATTTGCATGTACTAGAAAGAAGCTAGTAATGTTTTAAGTTATCATTTAAAGTAGTATTTAAAGCAATCAAGTGAAAGGAAAAGTTTGCTGTAACTATTTGTCTTGCTTGAAATGATTTCTAAATGTGGATGTGGGCTTTCTAAGAACTTTATCTCTGTACTGATTTTTGTCATTTGCAATTATTAACACCAATTACCTTTTTTTTGTGATGACATATTTAAACATCAAATTTGATCTGGATCTCTTGTAAGCATTGTCACTCCTATAGTTATTCCAGGGTTCTTCTGTTATCTATCATGCTGTAGAGAATGAGAGCTGTGAAGGAGTTGAGTAGGCCCTTAGAAACAAAATCTCTCCAAAGAATTTATTAAATCAGAGTCTATCCATATTGTAATTGGGTTATCAGTCTTTCTCTTGGGGAGCACTTTCAGTATTCTGTAAATTTTACTTATGAGACCGTTGTCTGAGATGTCATTGCCATTTTACCCCAGCCACTTTTTGATGCACACATGGACTTAACCTTTAGATTACGGTCATATTATATTTTTATTATGGTCACTCCATGTGACCCAGCTCTTTCAATGCTAGGACCATACGCTCAGGAAAACAGAACTGAGATACAAATGGAGATTTGTACACCAATGTTCCTTACTGTGTTATTCACAATAGCAAGAAAATGGGAACAGCAGAAATGTCCATCAATAAACGACTGGATTGAGAAATTGTTGTACATTTACATGACTATGCAGCAGAAAGGTGCAATGATATTGAGAAACATATGACATGGGAGAGGGTAGAGACCATTATACTGTATGCATATGTATGCGGTATGACTAACTCAGTCATACAAGGATAATTACTGCATATAACTATTAATGTAAAAATAGAAGGATAATTAGTAAGATGTGTATAAAAAGCCAAAGAGGCAAGGGAAGGGGGACAAAGGATTGAGGGTTGGGAGAGGGGATATCATGTCATTGAAGAATTTGGCGGGCCAAGGGAAGGGTGAAGGAATCAGGAAATATCCAGTGAGGACCTAAAAAGATGGAGTGATAGTGGGTTTTGCTCAGTGGTGACTGGTTTTATAAAATGCATTATATGTAAATGATTGTATGAAACACAATAATTAATGAAAGAATATGTGAAATGCAAAGTATATAAACAAAACACAATGTATGAGAATGCTGTATGCAAATCAATAGAAAATTTTTTAAAAAGTATCCTTTAAAAATAATCCCAAAAAACAAAAGTCTACCACTATAGAATTTTAATTTTCTATCAATCTGCAAAGATTTAAGGAATTATTAATAAAAATCACACTTGAAATATACAAAACCAGAAATTACTCCAAGAATCAATGCCTTCATGCTATAACACACAAATTCCTTCTTTTTTTAATAAGTTCCTCCTAAACTAGAGAACTTTAATGATGTAGTCTGCAGGAAGTTGTGCTGCTAACCCAAAGGCCTTCTCCAGCCTTTCAAATCCACAATAACTCTTTACTCATAGAATGGGCAATCTCTTTCTTTGTGATTTACAGCTACAGAAACTCAATGGAAGATTAGCTATATGTTGGTTCTGACTTGATGTTAATGAGGATTTTTAGAAGGTAAATTTTAAATCTCTTCAGTAGAAGGTCTTTACATAACCATTTCTAACCATTACTTTGTGCACCTTTTTGTTAGTTGTGGTTATTTTCACAATACTGGCATAACATCTGTGTATCATATTTGAAAAACTCTTATCCTTGAATTTTAAGAACACTGAAGTGAGCACAGTGACACAGTGAACTCAACTCCCTGTCATCCAGTTGACTCTGTCTCATAGGGACCCTTCACTGAGTTTTTAGGGCTATAAATCTTTACAGCCTATCTTTCTCCCTCCTGAGTAGTGTCTGGTTGATCATAACCACTAAAATCATAGTTAGCAGCCTGATATGCTGCCCATTAAGTCACCAGGGTTCCTTACACTTATAATGACATGCATCATTTAAATGACATCAAAGAATGCTCTGGAAATTTTTCTTCCAACCACAAATAATGAAATAGCACTTGTAAGCATGCAAATAGAATTGTTGTGTGTTATTGAGTGATTTCTGACTCAATACAATCCAGAGAAGAGCTGCTTCATTGGATTTCCAAAGCAGTGTGATGAAGATGGCACAGAATAGGGCAGGGTTCACAGACACCATTTATAGGGTCCCTAGAAGTCATAGTTAACTGGACTGCACCTAACTACAACAATAACAAAAATAATCTTTATACATAATCAGATCTTTTCTTCCACAGAGCCGCTGGTTGGTTTGATCTGTAGACCTTAGCAATGAAGTTTTTAACTATTACATTACCAGGGTTCTTTTACTGCATAGAATTAGCTTCAGTGAATGTTAAGCATGTATTTACAAATCAACTTGTTTTTAAATTCATAGAATACTATGTGACACTATAAATATATTTATTTGTGCCTAAAACAGAAGCATAAATATACATTTTCCCCAACTGAAACCTAATAATTTGGCTATTATATATTAAACTATAAGAATAGTCCAGATAACATTTTACTTAGACTTATCTTTTCCGTTTTTAACTTTAAATTTATTGTAAAAGTTGCATCATAGGGCATGATGAGACTGTTCTGTGCATGGAATTATGACAAAGCAACGCTGACACCTACAGAGAATGTATGTAAATATCCAAATGAAATTGACATATACTTTATTGACTGGTATCACAACTTTGTATTATAATTACTATGATTTGTAATAAAACAAGACCATTAAAATATGATATACAGGAAGCTAAAAAATAATTAACTTATGGAAGAAAACCAACATTCTTTTATAATTACAAATTTGCATTACAACTACCATGATTTGTACTAAAACAAGACCACTAAAATCTGATACACTGTAAGCTAGAAAAGTAATTAACTTATGGAAGAAAACCAACTTTTTTTGGTAATTTCAATAAATTTAACAGTATTCTGTGACATAATTGTTTCACTGCTGATATGTAAATAGTTGAGAGTGGACACTTATTAACAGCCCTCTTGGGTGAATACATCTCTTGCTAATGTTAACTAATGACACATGTGAAAGATAATCACCATGAAAAACACAGAAAACATGATTTTTTCCCTACTATTTTTATTTTTGTAGGGCTTTTAGTAAGGATTAAGAAATATCTTCGCATATCTGGAGGAGTTAACAGAGAATGGTCCAGAATAAATGATTATAGTACAGAAAAAAAGTACAATATTTACCTAGCTAAAATATTATATAACCTCTTAAATTACACATTGCACAATAGTTATGCACAAGAAATGAAATAATTATGATTTTGAGCCAATGAATACTGCTTATACAAGCAAAACTTACTGCTCTTTTTAATAAGCATTAGATAAAAGAAGGCAAAATTGATATTATTTAATAAAAATATATTTATCAAGTACCCAGTCATCATACAGAATAATAAGGCGTCAACTATGAAAATCAATTATTATTGTTGTTTTTCTTAAGTGTCAATGAGTGGAATCCAACTCACGGCAAAGAAATATGCAAAATAAAGAAACACTACACAGTCTTAACACCATCTTCACAATTATTAACCATGGTTGAGTCCTTCGTTGCAGCCACTGAGAAGCATAACTTATTAAGAGGTTTTCTTCTTTCACCCTGGATTGACACTATGACTGTGGTAATTGGGGCAGGTGTATTGGAGACTGTTCAAGATTGGCTTGGAATAGGGCATGGTTCAGAGCTGTTGTACATGAGGGTACCATGAGTCATAGTCTACTCAATAGCACATACCAGCACCAACAACATCACTTCGTAAGGACTTATGTTCTAAGTCTCTTGAAAACTTATCTAAAGTACACGAGACAAAGTGTTGACATACCCGCTCCCAGAGAATATTCTAGCTGTACTTCTTCTAAAGGAGATTAGTTCATTCTTTTGGCAGTGCATTGTATGTTCAGTGTTCTAAATCAACACCACAACTGGAAAATATAAACTCTTCTTCAGTATTTTTTTAATTCTTTGCCCAGCTTTGACATGCAAAACAACTTTTGGTATTCTTAGTGTGATTTTTTTTTGTTTAACTTTTTAAACACTTTGCTTTAAAACACAATTTCAAACACTTTATAAAGAGATACTTTGCAGAAAAGCTGTCCAGTGTAACACATCATTTGATTTTTTGACTGCTGTTTTTAGGAGAGGATACAATTAAAATGAAATCTTTGACACCTTAAATAATCTATTCGCTTATGATATCCTTTAGTAGCTCAGTTGTGAGGACTTTTGTTTTCTTTACAATGAGATGTAATCCATACCAAAGGCTACATTTGCCTTCAACAGTAAGCGCTTCAAGTCCTCTTCACTACCAGCAAGCAAGGTAGGGTCCTTTGCGTATCATAAGTTGTTAATGAGTCTTCTGTCAATCTTGCTGTCATTTTCTTTTACATGTAGTGCAGCTTCTTGAATTATGTGCTCATCATACAGATTGAATAAGTACAACGAAAGGACGCAATCCTCACATTGAATATCCTTTTGTTCTGTTCAAAGAACTGCCTCAGTATATATACAGGTTCAGCATGAACATAAGTGTTCTGAAATGTCTATTCTTCTTAATGTTATCCATAATTTGTTATCATCCACAGTTAAAGGACTTTGAATCCTCAATTAAAAACAAACATCTACCTGTTATTTACTGCTCTCTTCTGAAATCCAAGTGATATTAGCAATATTATCTTTGGGGTAATATCAATCCACGCCCTCTTCTAAATCTAACTTGAGTTTCTGGACAGTGCTTGTCAATATATTGCTCCAGTTAAAAAGAATATTTTTAAATATTTTGTTTGCCTGTGATATTAATGATATTGTCCAACAATGCTTACATTCTACTGGAATACTTTTCTTTAGAATGAGTTTGGATATAACCCTCAGGTGGCTAAAATAGTTGTCCTCTAAATTTCTTAAAATGCATAAATGAATGAATACCTCCAGTGCTGGATCTTTTTGCTGAAACATTCAACTTGGTGTTCTTCCAATTTTGGAGCCCAGTTTTTTTATCAATGACTTTTATATACCTCAAACTTTTTTTCAATTAGTTTTATCATGTCCTAGCTTCTGAAATGTTTGAAATTAAACAAATTATTTTTGCTACATTGACACAGTATATTCCTTCCATCTTCTTTTGATGGTTCTTGAGTTATTCAATAATTTTTTCCAAAGAATCGTTCAATATCACAACTTGAGACTTGATTTTTTCCCCTGAGTTCATTCGGTTTAGAAAATGTCAAACATATTCTTCTTTTTTTGGTTTTCTAACCCTAGGCCTTAGTACATTTCTTTATAATGCTTTACTTTACACCCACTTTTTCTTTTTCTACACCTCAGATATGTGTTTATCCCCATATAATGCTTTACTTTGTCTTCCTGAATCACTGTTTGAAATAATCTATTCAAATCTATTACTTCGATATTTTATTGCTTTGTCTTCTCTATGTTGAAGCAAGTTTCAGAGTCTCTTCTAGCATCAACTTTTATATCTTTTATATTTTCCCTTTTTAAGACTATTGAATATACCATTGACTTCTAAGAAAACAAACAGGCTCATCCTGGAGAAGGTTAAACTAGATTGCTCCTTGGAGGCAAGGATTCTGAAGCTTCATCTGACATGTTGTTGTTGTTATGTTCCGTCGAGTCGTTTGCGACTCATAGCGACCCTATGTACAACAGCCCTAAACCCTGCTCTATCCTGTGCCAATCACATTGCCTCTGACACACCCATCCCGATTATCCCAGTCACTGAATCAATCCACCGCACAGAGGGCCTTCCCCTCCTGCGCTGTCCCTCTACCCTACCAAGCATGATGTCCCTCTCTAAGGACCTGTCTCTCCTTACAACATGTCCAAAGTATATCAGACGAAGCCCCAGACTCCTTGCCTCCAAGGAGTAGCCTCGTTTAACCCTCTCTATGATGGATCTGTTTGTTTTCCTGGCAGTCCATGGAACATTCAATACTCTTCTCCAGCACCACAGCTCAAAGGCATCAATTCTCCTTCTATCCTCCCTAGTCATTGTCCAACTCTCCGATGCGTAACAAATGATTGCAAAGACCATGGCCTTTATCAGGTGCACCTTAGTCTTCAGAGAGACACCGTTGTTCTTGAGTACTTTAGAGAGGTCCCTAACCGCAGACTTTCCCATTGCAATACATTTTTCATTTCCTGGCTGCTGGTACCAAGAGTGTTGACCGTGGAGCCGAGCAAACTGAAGCTGTGAACAATCTCAATCTCTTCGCCATCCATCCTGACGCTGCCAATTGGTCCAGTGGTGAGAATCTTTGTCTTCTTGACATTGAGCTTCAATCCATATTGGAGGCTGCAGTCCTTGACCCTCTGCAGCAAGCACTTCAGGTTCTCCTTAGTTTCGGCAAGCAGGGTTGTGTCATCTGCATATCGCAGACTATTGATAGATCTTCCACCAATCCTAACACCACGCTTCTCCTCATAGAGCCCAGCCTCTCGGATAATCTGCTCTGCATACAGGTTGAAAAGGTATGGAGACAGGATGCATCCCTGGCATACACCCTTCCCAATTTTGAACCATGCAGTGTTGCTCTGCTCTGTTCTGACGACTGCCTCTTGGTCCAAGTATAGGTTTCACATTAGCAGGATTAAATGTTCTGGGATTCCCATTCTTCTCAGAATCAGCCACAGTTTGTTATGATCCATACAGTCAAATGCCTTTGCATAATCAATGAAACACAGATAGTCATTCTTCTGGTATTCTCTGCTTTCAGCTAAGATCCATCTAACATCAGCTACAATATCCCTAGTACCGATACTCCTTCTAAACCCAACCTGGACTTCTGGCAATTCTCTGCTGATGTACTGTTCCAGTTGTTTTTGGATAATCTTCAGTAGAATCTTGCTTGTATGTGAAAGCAATGATATTGTTCTGTAGTTTCCACACTCTGTTGGGTCACCCTTCTTTGGGATGGGAATAAATGTAGATCTCTTCCAGTCAGTTGGCCAAGTGGTTGTTCTCCAGATTTCTTGACACAACTCATCTGACATACTTGGGACATATTGCAAGAAGGAATCAGTCCTTGGAGAGGGAGGTCCTGCTTGGAAGGGTGGAGGGACAGTGCAGCAAAGGAAAACCCTCGATGAGATGGATTGATTCAGTGACTAGGGTAATGGGGGTAGGTGTGTCACAGACAATAAGATTGGCACAGGATAGAGCAGGGTTTAGGGCTGTTGTATACAGAGTCACTATTAGTCACAGACATCTCGATGGCATAACAACAACAACAATGAAGTTTTGCTTTCTCCTTCATGTTTGTTGTATATGATTTCATTAAACAATTCGTCTAGTCTTGGCTCCCTGATGTTCAATGTGTCTAAAACTATTTAGGTGGTCTATAAATTCTAGTGGAATGTTAAAACCCTATATTGGATCTCAAAGACTGGTTTTCATATTTTTCAGTTTGAAACTGACATTGCATATGAGCATTATGGTATACTCCATAGTCATTCTCTGACCTTGTTCTGACTGAAAATGTTGTTTCTTCATTATCTTTTTCTACACATTTGAGTATCGATTGAAATCTGTGTGTAGAGTTTGTGATAAGTGGGTACTGGTTGTAACTAAAAACTCAGCATTTTACCAGCAATTCTATTAGAAAATAACACTAATTTGCATAAACATATTTAAAGGTGATTTTAACAATGCAAAGCTTCACTTGGAGATAATAGTACCTTTACTGAGAGATAATGAACACTATTTAAATAAACTTGAGAATATTTTTTATTCTTGAATGGAAGTATATTCTAATAAAGAAATGCTAATAACATTATAGTTTGAAGACTATGTTTAGCTAAACAAGTCTAAAAATCACAATGGAAGTTTTATTTGCTTCAACTCACTAGAAATTCATGGCCAAATGTAACTAAGGACACATTATAAAAGAAGACTAATAATAGAAGACAGTTAACTAGTAATTACAGTAATTACAGCAACATGTATAAGAAAACATATACTATTGTCATCATTGTTAGGTACCATGGAGATCTGACACGGAGTGACCCTATGTACACAAGGATAAAACACTGCTTAATTCTATACCAAATTCACAGTGTTTGCTGTGTTTGATCTCATTGTTACAGTCACTGCATCAAACTGTTGACTGAATGTCTTTATCTTTTTTGCTGACCTTCAACCTTAGTAAACATAATGACCTATTCCAGGGACTGCTCCTCCTGTTAACATATTAAAAGTATTTGAGACAAAGTCTTGCCACTCAACTTCTAAGAAGTATTTTCTCTGTAATTCTTCCAAGACAAATTTGTTTGGGCTGAACAAAAAAAACAAAATTATCTGATGATTCATGGTATACTTAATATTCATCCCCAGCACCATAGTTCAAGGGTATCAATTTATTTAGGCTTCCTTATTCATTGTCAAGTTTCCACTGTATGCATTGGTGTAAGAAACTGTTCACTCATGTTATGGCAATCTTATGTATGGCAGAATAAGACAATGTCTAATTCTGTGTCATTGCTACAAGCACAAGCTGCTATTGAACCATTGTTGCATTCTTTCAAGCATAATATCTTTCTCCAGGACTAGTCACTCCTGATTTTATGTATCTAATATCCTCATGTCTTTTTTTTTTGCATTAGGGTATCCTGTATTCATCTTCTAAATACATTATTGAATGAAGGTCAGAGCCATCAAAGGCTGCTGTGAGAGTCTAGTGTTTCCATTTCTCTATTTAAAAAGTGAAATCAATTGAATTGCATGACATTGTGGTGAA